AAGACGGAATTTCAGTTGCCACATGTGATTTTGTCCCAGTGACAGCAGAAACCTATCCGCGTCCCAAGTAAATTGTAATCTGCTCCAAAACATACCCGTAGGGACTGGTTAGATTTACCACTGATCGTATTTATCAGATTGAATGTCTTCGGTACAGTGGTCTAAATCACTTCCCGTCAAATCTCATACTAAAAATTACAGCGATGCGGATAAAAAAACGTTGTCGAACAGTAGGTGCATTATCGACTGACACTCGAAGATATTTGAGATGAACTCATGGGACAAACACGCGTCCTGTTTAGTTGTTTCCTTAGAGAAAATTTAGATTTTCTCAATTTCTTTCCGAGGACTAAGTGGATAAATCTTTGAAGACTATGGAACTTCAGCAACATAGGCTTGCATTAGTACAAGCTGTCTGTGATCCTCGTGCTCGAAGGCTACTAGTTTAATTATTCTCATTCAAAGATGGGCCTATTACGCAATAACTGGATGTCAGCTCACGCCTGTGTGAAGAGCATCCATTTTGCTTGTCTATTTCTTTTACCGTGACTAAAATAGTGCTTCACTTATTCTGTTCAGTTGTCCTCTTTTCTCTTGGGCTGATGTGAGCAAATAAACATTACCATCTTATTCGTTGCCAGTATGCAGCAACGGAAAATTCATGGAAGCTTTTTATCAGTTTCAGACGAACGCGGCAACTCCGAAAAAGGTGCCTTGCAATAAAATCTCGTCATTAGCTTGGGTCACTTTTTTGATAATCAAATTTTGTATCCATGAACTGATGTAATTGCGCAAATCGCCTCATATTATAACGTATTATAACAAAGTTAGCTAAAATTGAATTGTTCTATCCACAACTCGGTGGGAGGGTCTTCAGAGGAGCATTTAACACATCTACGAAGTATCACTAAAGAATCCTAAAAGCCACCAAGCTTTTCACGGAAAGTTACATTAGGAGCCGAGATTTGACATCGGCCGAAAAAAAAGCAAAAATATGGAACTATCCATAACTTACAGTTATTCGTCGTAGTTTTCTTTTGACTATTCTTTTGCTATTTTGCAATAGTTCTATAGATTCCAGCTTGGGACGCGTCACTTAGGCACTCTGGACGTTAAACGCTCGCATTCCATCCCTTACATCTTACGACTTGCTTAAGCTATTCAAACAACTCTGCTTTGACATTATTACGTCTTTTAATGAACAGCCTCTTATATGGGTTTGCCAAGAAACTCCTGTTGAGTGTCGCCGAATTCTCTGCTGATGGATGCTTGATGCCTTCTTAAAACGCAAGAATAGGACCCCATTAGAGCGACGGCACAGTTACCTTCTAGATACTGTCGGTAACGAAATTCAAAAGATGGCAATACGGCTGCCCTGCAGATGGAATAAATAAAGCCACCAAAATGGTTAGAGAGGACAGTTCTCGACATTTTGTGTTAGGAAACGTTGTGAAGTGGATTTTACATACTTCCAAATGAGAAGTCTACCTACGCATTGCATGGACGAGGAAACCTGTCTGAGAGCGGGCACACTATCGACCTCCTGCTGACGAAGCTACTGAGGAAGCTAGCCCTTCATCGCGTTCACTCATGTTATTGACGGCTGCCATTCCCCAACCGATTAGACATGGGCGTGGAAAGCAGCTGTAAATTGTAGATGCATAACTATGACCTAGATAGGGCGTCCTCGGCCACTTCTTCTGTAGAGCAATAGTCGTCCACTAAGGGAAAGCTCCGTATTTCGTATCAGTTCCCAGGCTTGTTACTGTAGGTGCAGTTGGACTTCTCATTCCAACCCCTGGTCGCGTAAGACTTTACAATTGACCATTAAGATATTTCCCCGAAATCATTGTTGTTCGTCAAGGCTTTTGTTTGGTTTCGTTTGATACGCCCATGGAGCATACAGTCCAATGGACCGAAAAACCCAAAGTCAAAAGGATACAAGCAGGGAGGTCCTTAAACTCGGTTTGTGAAGACAATACCATTTTGCTAGTTGACAATAGGTAGTAGGCATTATCCAATCCGAGTATGGGGTGGAGTTGACCCATCGTTTGGAGTCTTTAGGGTGTAAATTCCTATCCTAGGATTCACAATTTCCTTCAAAACTTCTGAATCAGCAGATTTTTGTTCGACTTACGGAGTTTAGTAGCTCCTTGAATCTCAGTTATATTGTGATGGTTTAATCCAAATACGCATTAGCGAGTTAAATATTATTTGTCAGCCTGATCGTTTGTGGTGTCAAAAAAGAAATCTATCAAATCTGAAGAATAATGTGTACAAGACTGCGAGACTGTGGGTGCAGAATGTTCACTTCGAGTTCAGATAATTTTATAGAATTTGAAAGTGCTCCCCTTACAATGTTCTTGACGATTACTATTTCGCTTTTCCCAAACCGCATATCCACTTTTTCAGGAGCCAATTTATCTATAAGGCGTATTGTGGGGATCACACTATCGAAACACCCAAATAGGGCTTTGCTCACATTTACAGCCATTGAAAGCAGGCGAAAAGCAAGACTTTCCAGCAATTCCAACTAAAAGATGCGGACGGCGATTCATGTCATTTGAAGGAAATCCCTGGAGAACAACATTTAATCCATGTTCTCCGTGATATCAGATCAAATATAGATCAAAATTGTGCGCCAGGTGGTCATTGAGGATGAGATTCCAAGTCCACCGGATCCGAGACACAAATGTTGCAATCAACGTTTTTAAAATGACAAGGCCATCCATGGGATTTGAGACAGAATAAGTTTATCCCATGAGACAGGCACTTGTGTTCCCCATACTTGACTGCAATTTGAAACGCAACGCCAACACGCATTGCCCGAATTTGTACAAGACGACTCCTCCACATGTAAAAAATCTATCAGACCTGGTGCATCTCATACTTTCGTTTGGTAAGTACAAGGAGTCTTTCCAGCGGGTGAAATGTATGTATAATACTTGGTATTCATTTAGTGTTCTTGCTAGAATTTTCAAGGAAAATGAAACCACCGCTTGTGTACCGTATTCCATGAATATTCGAACTGACCGTCTCATATCGGACTCATTGAAATTCACATTACTCTGCAGAAATGTGATCGCGGAATAGTGGCTGAGCAGCAAGCACTTAATGGTACGTTCACCTACTTAAGACAACTAAATGTAGACAAGGATGCATTGGTACAGTCATCTATCATCCAGTTTTGAGTTGCTCCAGCCATTCTTTGCTTAATGAATCTCATCAATGGTGGCAGATTTTACAGATTTTATAGGTAGAAAAAAGTTGAGTGAACCTACTTGTCGGTTGTCCTGAGCAGCAACTACTTCTGTTGTTGTTAGGTCTAAAGAGAGACGCTTCGTAGGAGTCAGGAATAGGAACGGGTTCGATAGCAATGAATATAGGAGTTTATTTCATCAGCCGCTCGACTGAAACTGATACCTTTTTCAATAAAATCATGCTGTTAAACAAGAGGATCCCTAATATGCATCGCTAAGCCATCCTTCATTTGCCTGCCGGACGGGAAACAGTAGAATTTCACCTTTCTCAATTATTTCTGGTTGCCAACATTTTTCACTAAGCAATATGTAATTCAGGTAAAATGTAATTAACTAACTGAAGATGGATTCAAAGGCTACTCGTTAAAATAAGCTATTCTGCAGCTCAACAAGACATATAGGCGCATTTGATTTCAATTTGGTATCCGTTAAAATGTATGTAACAGTGGCTGGAAACGGGGTGGTAATAATAACTGGTGCTTGAAAGCCTTGTTTTACAGATTAATCACTACCGGCACTACTCTTCTATTTCAAACTCAAGAAGTGATTCTGGCGTATTCTAAGAACAATTATCCCTCTGTGATCCAAGGGATACTAAAATCACTCAGTAACCGATTGAGTTTGTAGCACAGACATTTTTTTACATTGATTAGTGGATGAATGACGCCATATCTTGTCTAAGGACAGATTAACCACACTGCTGAACAACCTCTCGTGGCGGAACAGTGGTGCTCTACTAGAGTTGTGACCTTAAAGCTCTTCTGGGTTTCCTTGGATGGGCACTTCAGCTGACTCTCAATTCACATCTTGAAGTCAGGAGACTGATGAATGATTTTGCCTTAAGTTTTTAATGATTCATAGCATATTCATATCTTGAATAGGCCGTATAACTGCTTACAGCCCAAAAGTCAACTTCGGAGGAGTGGGGCAAAATGCCATTTTCTACTTTGGCCAACATTATCATATAATAAAGGTACTCAGTATTCATTAAATGCAATTAGGTTTCACGCATCTAAACATCAGTTTTCTGTTGTCTCCTTAGTGTTGATAAATACCGATAACCATTGATAATATAGTATTAATCGGTCATATTTGGATCGAATCCGTGAATTCGTTCGAAGTATATATTCTTCCTTTTTTACAGTATCCCTTCCACATTCACTGCAAGGATGTTCGGCCAAAAGCGACGATATAAAACTACTGTGTGTCTTTACGTTCGAATGCCAGTAGCTGAGAATACTGTACCGGTAATGTCCCCCATGTCGCCCTGAAAATGGACCAGCCATGCGACAGCTGATAGTATTCATTGATAGCCATAGTAGTGGTACTTACCAAAAATAGTGTATTATTCCGTCCACCAGTGGACAAGTACATGTTACTATTGCATTATAGACGTCAGTCAGTGCAGAACAAAAGGTGCACACAAATTCATTCATTTACATTCGGTCAACTTATGAAATGTCTCTGCTCTCTCTGCTACTCTGGAAAAATGGTTGATAAAGGATAATATAGTCTGACCTGAGTAACTCAGCCACATCGGCTATATATCTTACTTCAAAATATTTGTAGTTAAACCGACAGAAGCATTGGCGAAGTTGTGGAATGTAGGCAGCACTGTACTGCTCGGTTTTTGGTCTGGCGAACAGACCAACAACCGACAGGAACATCCTTCCAACAGTTCTTAAATTCCGACTATTACATCAAGTGTAATCCATACACCAGATATTTCCATTTTCTTAGGATTAGGACACCCTGGAGCAAGTCCCAGAATGGAGAGTTTTCCCCATATCCAGAAATGCTCCTGGTGAGTTTGTCACAAATGCCTCACCAGTTTCCATCGTTTAGGCACCATCTGGAACATAACAGGCATTATTGCTAAGTTCCGCTGTACAACAAGCGGGCACACTTTCACTACCACCTGATGCCAGCAAAGCATCTCAGAAATCTGAAATTGCCGGGGTTTTCGTCCTTTAATACCCAATGTTCTTGTCTCGCAAGCCTTTGTAAATCGTATTTATTCTCACTAGTTGTGGTAGGAACGCACTAATATCAGTAACGCAATGAAAAGATACAGTTTATCGCAGGCTACTCACCGTATAACAGTAGGCAAATCACGGTGTTAAATAAACACACCCAGACTGGTAGGTCCATTGAGATTCTGTCGCATTGGTGCAGAATTGAAGAGCCTGATTACTGTATCGTATGCTGGCTTACCTAGAACATCCGCTGAATTTAGCTAAAAAAAACACAGCTGCGACTTGAGTCATATGTAATGATCCAAAACTGTAGTGGTTCCTGTGAGATGTGGGTTTCCGTACGCTCTATAATAAGAATGCAATGAAGCATACGGTATTTGCATTCCCCAGTGGTCGTTGCACACAAAGTTGAGGAACATTATTCAAATTGTGGCCACCAAAAACACAGTGCTGGTCAGTAAGATGGTAGCTGATAAATCCCCGCATTATTTAATGGTAACACAGTACAAAGGTACCAGCAAACAGAGAAAAATATTTGTCCATCAGGGAAGATGACAGCTACATGGATAGGGACTGACCAATGAATGATAAGATAGTTACTCATGCTAAGATACAACAATTTCTCTTGAGCATTTCAGTCAACTTGTTTCCGCGGTCTCAGAATACTTCATGATACGTAATTTCCAATCAATAAATAGAATGGTGGGCGCTGAGAACATCTCAACCCGGTGGTCTGCTGCCAAAAGAAGTCAGCTAGCGGACGGCCATGGTAGCTGAGCGTCGGGTTTCAACCACTTTCTGACTGTGGACCCAAAGAGGTATGTGCACCTATGAGCACCGAGTCATCCATCGATGATGCATATCTAATTGGCTCCGTTTGGATATAAACCTGATGAAATATGACTGGCAGGCAAACAAGGAGAGAGATTCTGAAAGTTGTCATAAGAACAAGGAGAAGCACGGGTGAGAAATACACGTTTGTGCGTGTATTACCAGCCAAGTCCATAATTCGTCACATCACATTTATATGGTGTAGGCATAAAACACTAAGCGAGTATTTCCAGGAGCCGCTATTGAAGTACAAGTGGTATGGAACTTGATAACCTGGCTGGATTCCAGTTGCATCACGACTGCTAAATATGTGACTTCTGGGATGATAGAAAAGTCAATCACACACTGAATGTCGGACGGATTGGACCATGCGTTATTTTACGGTGTAATAAACTTTGTTGTTATCTTGCCTACTTGTGTCAATCTCTGTCCCACAGACCAGGCATCAGTAGTAAGTCAGTATTTGTACTATGTTGTTGAACCAACACAATTCTTGCCTTGCACTATTAAGAGATAAAATCACAGAAATTAACGTTGAAGAAGCGGAATTGCGTAAACTTTATGCGAAACCAGACAATCAATAATGAACGCTCCGACGTTGCAAGAAATCCTTGTCAAAAAAATATGTGTCGCAAATTCCTCGCTAGGTTTGTAAAGGCTAAACCGCTACTCATTCCGTTATAGGCAAAATACACAATAACATGCCATAGCACACATCAGCACAGTTACCATCAAATCCCCACAGTGTTTCAAGACCCCGTAGTTTATACGCTAGTAAGAAGCTCAAATAACGGGAGAATCCGGCCACAGGGTAACCCAAAGCTGTCCAAATATGTTACCTCTCCGCATAATTTTTAGATGAAGATCAGCTGGACAGGGATAGATGTCGAGCAGCATCCTGGAGTCACTTAGCTTCGCACGTTCTTTAAATAGTCTCAACTGGGCATCCAAACTGTACACCTGATCCCGTTGTAACATTTTGGTTATACTTGTGAAATGGTTCCCTTAGACAGCTGCGACGGGAAACTTCACGCTTCTTATCTATCATCGAAAACAAACTGAAGAGTTACGGACTGTTTCGAAGAACCAAAAGAGTCTCACGAAAGCTATGCCACATGCAATTCACAAAGATGTCGTATTATTACATACGGAAGGACAACTTGTTTTCCGAAAACGATTCGTAAACGTCTTCCATACTATGCCAAGTTCCGTCAGAGTTTGTGGAATATTTTCAAAGCTCATCGGAGCTATCCACTGCCGCGGAACGATAGGAATATATTTAATTCGTTGATAGATACCATCATTTATTCTGGGTCTCAGCTAAGTTGTCTAACAGAAAACTACTAAGAATAGATAAGGTGTCAGACGCACGATTTGAATAACATACCTGTGGTTAAACGATACGCCACAATAGCCTTACAAATTTCTGTTGATTAAACAGAGAAGTAGCTAACTCTGCAAAGCTTTTGGTATTCTAGACCATGTGATATCCTCGTGTCGCAATCCGATCTTCAGTGTCACAATCCGGTTGTAAATTGTAACGGGTTGAGTCACATCCTTCACTAAGGGTTAGTCTGAACATACTTATCATTCCGTGTCTAGCTAAGGTAGACTTATTAAACTTTGTGGATTCTAAAAGTAGAATTATATGTTATCAGTTATTTTGCAGTTTCTATTTGCATCAGCCGTTATTTTTTGAGACCGCTTGAATGTAGTGACTTACTGAATTAAGTTTACTCACACCCAATTTACGAGCTCCAGGAATGAAGAAACGGGTGGCTAGCCATCAAAAGATATTTTGTTTGTGGAGTGAAAAATTTCACTACACTTTGTATCCTTTTAACCACAATCTGAAGGTTAGTTTATGTGGCAAACTCGACCGAAGTGCACTTTAGTTTCCAGTCATCATCAGTAAATTGTTTTCCTATTTTATATGTAAAACTCCTGTTGCAGACTGGCTTTTTCACACTTGTTTCGACCAGTTTCATCAGTGCTTAGGTTTGGGTTGAAATTATCAGGTTCGACTGGGATTTACCAGGCTGTGTATGAAATCTAGTAAGTACAGTGACATCTGGATGAATCACTGAAATCCAGAAAAGCAACCATTAGCTGAATTTGAAATAATCCTCAAAAGTCCACGTTCATTTTTACCGACAATCGTATGTTGAACACTCATCAAATTGTACAATACTACCTCACTACATTAGCTGTGTATTATGTTATCACTTGTCATTTTTACTACTAGTAACGGGCATTTAGTCCTGCAGGTGTGCTCTTGCCAACCGTATACGGCACAAAAATGTACCGGATCCACGTTGACAACTAATTTCTCAACTTTCTCAGAGCATGAGGTACGAAGACCTTCAACATACGTGATTCGAATGCAAGGCTTACTAGTCACTATTCAGGTTCCCTCAGAAAGCAACAAGACAGCTTCTTTGAAATGTAGAGCGCTGATGAAGGTACCACTGGTCAGCAATAAAGAAGGATATGTGATTAGCTTAAACAAGTCCTCTTCACAGCGGAGGACCTAATAAAACAAGCATAATGTCTCCGATTCTCTTGGAATCCACCCGTTTTGTGTTCACCAGCGGTGCATGGTCTCTACATTATTCTTGCTTCGGTTTTATCTTCCCAGCCGTTAGGCCACACAGTTTGCCACGGCTGAGTGGCTGCATTATAAGGTGTGGGCATGACTTGACATGGCCAGCTGATTGGCTGTTACGTTATCACCTGATTTACCTTGCGGTTTGGCATGCACTTCTGCTACACGTCTTAAACCCGCTCAATGCATGTTCGGTGCATGTTGATGTATACGTTCTCTGATGTGAAAGACTGGTCTAGGTGGGCCAGGAAACACCACAGTGAGCACATCCATGGTATGACAACCAATTCAGTTAGTTTGTTACTCGCAAAATGGTGATAATTCTCAATGTCATTATGTCCAAGCCTAATTTCTGCCCGTATAAAAACGCATCACATTCTCATGGCATTCGAGTTCTATGCAAAACATCACTGAATTAATCGATTCCTCATGATTTCATGCGTCCAACTGCGATTTGTAAATCATACTCGGGTGGTCACAAAGATCCACACACACACCCTGGTCGCATTTCACGAATGTCTGGCACACGCACGCCAACTAAGATTTAGAAATGTCCAAATCCCATGATTAAATCCCACCAAATTGTAGCAGTCCTCAGCCTACTGTGAGTAATGTTTTATCCCGTAAAATGGCTGTGCTGTTTAACAGTGTCCCTACCTAGTCGAGTATATATGTTGGGTGAGAATTATACTCGTAACCCGGCTGTTGAAAGCGTACCAACAGGTTTATGAGATGCGAATTCTTTACTTGGTAGAAACTTGGAGCAAAACCTAGTCTTTACAATTTTTCCAAGCTCAAGCCCACCTGAACTGAATAAATCGCAAGTTAACAGATTGTCGAAAAATATTTTATTCACTGAGGTTAAAATGGTCAACATAGTTGAACGGAGAAGTATTGGCCTTCATCCTAATCCTACTGTGTTTATTTTATAGTTAAATGCATAAACATTAGTGTCCGTCTGACGACAGGTACCTGCAAAATGAGTTATCCTCCTTTTTGTCTGAGCTAAAATGAATGTTACAGACAGAAAATCGAAACAGTCGCTTGGCCACAACATTTGCCTGGAAAAAGAGTACAGTCGTAGAAAAGTTTCGGCACACACAGTGCTGAGTCGTATAATGAAAGACCATTACAGGAATGTCGTCAGAACACCAATAAGTGTTAAAGGTAGTGGTCAGTCCACGATGAGTAGACATCAGTAGGAAAGCAGTGGTCAGTAACTCGGTATTATTACATGCAGTATAAGTAGCACCAGACTACCAAAACTGAGGGAATTTTGTGAAAAAATATCGGGTAAATTCAGGTCTGAGGTAATGTTTACCCTGCAACCTCCAGGCTCAAGCCTAGCCATCCACAGCTTTAGGTGGTCTGAGACCATGCGCGAAATCACAA